TTTTTTTTTTTTTTTTTTAATGTTTCAGCGCAGTTGAATTTTTTTTAGGCGTTGAATCATTTCTCAAGGTGGCATTGACATTATTGTCGATTGTTAAGCTTTTTTTAAAAAAAAAAAATATATATAAACAAAATAATGGGGGCATAGGCTTTAGTTTATTGTGTACAAGTACAAACAACAGCTTTTATTTTTAGAATCTGGTCGTCTTCTGCTTCTGGGACAGACCGATTGAAAACTCTCAAACCCACAATTAATTAATTGATTCACAAATCATTGGAGTGGACTAATTTATTGAATCGGGATGCCATTTTTCTGTGTGTTATAAGAAAATGTCAGTCTGAAAACTTTTTTTTAAGGGGCTAAGTGGCTGCCAGATGTTTACATGGGATTCATTATTAATAGTCATCACATATATTTAGATGGCTTTTATAGTAACAATAGTCAACACATATAGTTAGATTGGTTTAATAATAATAATAGTCATCACAGATAGATGGGTTTAATAGTTATCACATATATTAAGATGGGTTTAAGTTTAATAGGCATCATTCGATGAGCCATAAGCATTGATCGATCAGACTATTGTCCGTCTTGGTATCGATATCACTCCGGATATCGTCTACCTACCATGAACTCGATCCTGCCCGTCCCTACTCAGGCCTACTGTAACTTGGGTGTAACGCGCAGTCATTCAAGCGTGCTGGCCATTTATTTATTTCATGAATACACGGGGCGGGGGTGGGTGTCTTAAAGGGGGGGAGGGGTGTACTCCAACTCCAAGGATTAAAGTTAAGCAGGGGGAATAAGTAGGCATGTAAATGAAGTCCTTTGTAGCTGTAAGTTGCAGTGGTAGTAGTGAACAACTTTAAGGATCTGGTGAATCGCAGATCTGAAGAGATAAGGAGATAGAAAAGGAAAGAGAGAGGGAGAGAGAACGAGAGAGGCAGAAGGAGAACGAGAGAAATGGGAGAGGGAGAACGAGAGAGAGAAAAAGAGAGAGAGAAAGGGGAGAGAAAGATTTAAGCGGTGAAAAAAAAAAAAAGGGGGGGGGGTTGGGTTTGAGAGGATGAATTCCTATTGTTACAGGTGTTGTAGTTTTAGGATGTATAAAAACAAAAAAAATTGGGGATTTGGGAGACGGCATTTCAATGACGCTCTATTCGAGTTCCGGTTCACTACTTTATAGCAAGGCCTAATAAAAATACCGTACTACTAATACTACTAACTACTAATAAATAATACAAAGTCACTATATTTTGGGTGGCTATATTTCGGGTGGAAAGAGAAAGTGCCCCATGCCATAAAAATAAAAGCTTCCAGTCAGTATCTCCAAGTCTAAGATGCACACGGTGGATCCTTATTCCAAGGTCAGTCCCCTCCAGCAGTGGTTCTAAAAATGTTGGTTTGATGCCCATGTTTAATACTACCGGTACCGGTACTAAAATTTATTGGAAGTCTTAGTCTTTGAAAAAAAAATAATAAATAAAAAATGTGACGCAATCGGTACCGTACTGAAACTGTTGGGACCAAACAAAACAATTCAAGATTTTTTGTCCCGGCATACCGGTACCGGTATATTTTGTAATATATACCGGTATAGCTAATGTGTAACTAATCTAGCTTACTAACTAGGTAAATGTCTTAATGATGGGCAGGGCTGTGTTCTAGTGATAATGACACGCAGTGACGTAGGGAGGGGTTGCGTTGGGGGGGGGGGTCACTATTTTGATGGAGGGGAGCGTTTTCGGCAAAATGCGGGAGTTTTTGTTTTCATTGGATAACATAGGTTCGCCCCCGGGGTGGTACCTACACTAGCAACGCCCCTGGGGATACACCTTTGATACCAGCGACTACATTCCTGAAATGATTTTAAAATATTTTAATTCTAAGTTTTTTTTAAGCTAAACAAGACCTGGTGTTCGGTGTACGGTAGTAGTAGAGAAGGTGGGTGAAGGTGAGTAATGTCAACCCCCACCCGTCCAGTGGCGTAGAATTTAGAAGAGGGGTGCGCGAGAGTCGGCCCTTTCGCCTAACTGTATAATTTTTTCGTGAAAGTGAAAGGGGGCAGAAAACAAGGTTCGACTGCCCCCCTCCCCTCCGGGCGTGGCACTAACACTAACCTCAGCTACGCCACTGCACCAACGAGGTTATTTGGATAAACTTGACATATTTAGATCTACTGGTGTCTTTCAGTTTCAGTGTAGCCATTAGGTATAATTATAATAATATTAATAATGTTACTATGTTACCGGTATTTAGGAGGTCATCTCAACAAGGGAAGCCGCTGTTATAGTTATAGTTTATAGTCGAGCAAAAAGTACGGGACCGGTATATTAAAGAGAGATAATCCAGTTTTCTAAACAAATTATTTGTACGGTAAAAATTGGCCTCCCTTGCAATAACTTGCATGTTGTTTCTGCTACCGGGTACCCGGTATACTATACAGACATTTTTATTTACCGTACGGTGTGTAAAGGTTGAGCACCGCTTTCCAAACTGTAGTGTGGCACATGCCGAGTGTAGGTGTGAGGAGTGCAAAAAGACATACCCAGTACCTGTACCAACTTTCTCAAATTATGTAGACACCGAAGGAGCCAGACAGTTGAGCAAGCCAGTTGAACCAACCAGTTCAACCAGCCAGTTGAGTCAGACATAAAGATCAAGCTAAGTGTATCCCTCCCCCCTGTACAGGAATACGAGCTTAAACCTTAAGTTTAACTGTCTTTTGCATTTAAATTAAATGCTAAATAACTTTTATTTGCATTTAAATGCCAAATTAATTAAATCATCAGGGTGTAATGAAGCCGACACAATTCTGCTGAGAAAATAAATAGTTTTTCCGTACTTTGTGCATTCTCAGATTCTCATTTGGTTTCCCCTTTTATCTTATATTAGTTTTATTGGGTACCGTACCCCGGTACTCTTTTTTTCTTTTTAAGCATCAGTTACCCCACTTCCCTTGCAGTGCAGCATGAGGACCTCTCCAAGGAGGGCAACAGGATATGATTTAAGACATAGTCTGTTATTTTACAACTTAATTTTTTGTTCACATCAGGGTTTTTGAATTTTAGTTAAATTACGGCACATCTCTTAAGAGATGGGTTAGTTGAAATATGAACTGTCTACGGCACATCTCTTAAGAGATGGGTTAGTTGACATATGAACTGTCTACGGCACATCTCTTAAGAGATGGGTTAGTTGAAATATGGACTGTCGAAATATGGCGAAATAATGTTTGCCTAAAATGTTGGCTGTCACTGTCAGCATGATAAAGAGCCCAGCAGCAGAGATATGAAAATGTGCTAAAAAATAATACAGGTATTTTTTTAAAAGAATTTATCAAGTTATTTTACTGCTAAAAAATAACACCACCAACAATGATAATAAAATTTAAGATAAGATTTTCAACGCAGTCAGTTGTTTATTGCACAATAACCCATTTAAAATATAAGTTGACTTATTTTTTCAATCTAATACATAAACAAATTGATAATTTACAACTGAAGTCTAAAAAATTTATTGTACCGGGTATATAGAGTAACCTTGTTACAGAAAATGGGTAACCTTGTTACTGACAAAGTGTTTTAAAAGTTAACAAATGAGTTTAGCCATAATCAGTTTCAAAGTCAGTGTAAGAGAAACTTCATCTACAGAAGTTTAACAATGTTGAAATGTTGGTGTCGTGCTTGGCTGAGACTTCGATGAAGCTCATTCTGTTTAGTGACGCAAGGACTTGACCTGCCTGGGAAATAAAAAAACAAATTCTTAATCAGGGTTGCCACTTAGTAAAGATGTCCCATTTGTCTTTCTTACGTTTACCGTAACATCCTATTAACGATTAAAATGTCCTTGGCATTCCCATTTTTCTAAATCATATATTTTGCTTTCAATTTTTAAAGGCCCTTAACCCAAAAATAAAGTTGACATCTGAAGATAACTGGGACTAGCTTACCGTTTTGTGCACCTCCCTCTGTTTCTCATTGTCTCCCTTATTTCCAACCAAGACGAGAGTTGTTGATACTGGGACCATAGAGCGAACAATTTTCATCCATCCCTTTGTCTCTACAAAACTTGCCTGCGACAAACAAATTACATTTAAAAATAAAATTATAAAAAAGTTGTTTAAACAACCACGCAGAATTGTGTAACAGCTCAACTTATGATAACATGTATTTGAACATCAGCATTGTTAAATGTAAAAATCGTAATAATATTTCACATTGCTCCCATGCATAGAGATCTTTTAGAATTGAACCAAAAACAAAAGTCAACAGAGCCAAATGACAGCAGTCCACAGAGCCAAATGACAGCAGTCTACAGAGCCAAAAGACAGTCTACAGAGCCAAAAGACAGCAGTCCACAGAGCCAAATGACAGCAGTCCAGAGCCAAAAGACAGCAGTCCAGAGCCAAAAGGCAGCAGTCCACAGAGCCAAAGGTAGCAGTCAACTCAGCCAAAAGACAGAATTCAACTGAGCCCCCACAAAAAAAAGTCAACAGAGCCAAAAGACAGCAGCAGACAACCAAGTCCAAAGACAGGCAGAGTTCATCTCAGACTGACGAGGGTGTTACAAGTAATTCTGACAACCCACATCAAGTGAATGAAGTTGCGAATGAAACTTGACGTTTACTGTGGCACACATTTCTTCACTCAGTAGGTACAAGTTTCACCAGTGGTGGGTAAGCGTGTGCTTTCTCAGAGTTCATCAGTTGGCAGTCACCGTGCTCTGTAATGCTAGTAGGTCGCTGTCAGTGTCCAGTTGTAGTTTTTGGGTGTCGCTAAATGTATCAGTGGAAGCAGACTGAAATCCCAATACAATCCTAATACAATCCCAATACAATCCCAATACAATCCCAATACAATCCCGATACAATCCCAATGCAATCCCAATGCAATCCCAATGCAATCCCAATACAATCCCAATGCGATCCCAATGCAATCCCAATGCAATCCCAATACAATCCCAATACAATCCCAATGCAATCCAAATACAATCCCAATGCAATCCCAATACCAATTGCTATTGCTGTTATCACTATTTTGCCAGTTCAACCAAAGATGGAATAACTCTTACAAACTTACGTGGTTAGTGACATCGTAGACGATCAGTACATAGTTGGATAAGCTGGCGTGGATGGCATCCACCTGGTCCTGGATAGTGGTGGCCATGCTGGGGTCAAGGAACACTTCATTGGTGTCAAGGAACCTCAACACCGTTGTCTTGGACTTCTTTTTACAACTGCTGGGTCTCTCCACAACAGCTTGAGACCTTTCAACTGAAAAAAATAATACACCAATCAAGTTTATGGCCACGTAAATTAGCAAATTACTAGAAAGAGGTGCATACAGTGATGTGCTTAGTGGATCAATGCACCGCCGTAGGGGGATGCACAAAGTAGCAGAGTGGTGCACATATTGGCACAAATTTGTTTTAATGTTAATGAAATGCTTCACATCACAAGACGGCTTGCTTTACTAAAAAGCTTGGGTGACTTTGGCGGTGAATAGTGAATTTGGCATGGGGTCAACTCATTCCAAACCTTGTGGAAAACCAAAAGCCTGACTAATAATTTTTTACTCTAAAAGTGTTGGGCCTTAGTAAGGCTTACAGTAATTTGAAATAATTTAAAAGTCTTAAATCATCATCATTATGACCAGTGAGTACTAGATCCAAGAAGTCAGCATGAAAAACCCAATACGTGTTTGAGTCTTACATAACAGAGCTTAAGAGTGAGCACTACATACATACAGAGCTTAACAGAGTGCTACATTCAAGAGCCTAATTGAGAGTGCTACATGCAAAAGTTTAATTGAGAGTATTACTGCTAAATGCAAGAGTTTGAGAGTACTACAAAAAGATTTTAATTGAGAGTACTACATACAAGAGTTTAATTGAGAGTACTATACTATATACAAGAGTTTACTTGAGAGTACTACATACAAGAGTTTAATTGAGAGTACTACATATACAAGAGTTTAATTGAGAGTACTACATACAAGAGTTTAATTTGAGAGTACTACATACAAGAGTTTAATTGAGAGTACTACATACAAGAGTTTAATTGAGAGTACTACATACAAGAGTTTAATTGAGAGTACTACATACAAGATTTTAATTGAGAGTACTACATATACAAGAGTTTAATTGAGAGTACTACATACAAGAGTTTACTTGAGAGTACTACATACAAGATTTTAATTGAGAGTACTACATATACAAGAGTTTAATTGAGAGTACTACATACAAGAGTTTAATTGAGAGTACTACATACAAGAGTTTAATTGAGAGTACTACATACAAGAGTTTAATGGCCAGGGATGAAGCTCATTGGAAGTATTACCTCCCAGGGTCTGGAGATATTCCTGTCTGAACCCAGCATTCCTGAACCTCCTGACAATGGAGCTCTTCCCAACGCCTGGCTCACCCACCACGGTCACGGTAACCATGGGAACGGGTTCATCCTTGACCCTTGGCAGAGGCTTCGTTTTCCTGGAAATCAGATTTCAGATTTTTTTTTTTAAACTTTTTTTAACATTGGGAAATAATACATACTACATCTTTCAGGAGATAGTAATATAGTCTAACTTATGGGTAAATATTTGTTTCACAATAATGGGGTAACAGTTATTGTTTAATTATAACTTATTTAAATTATTAAATTACCCAAGCCCCATAATGTATATACTATATACACTGAACTGTGTCCGGAAAAAAAGGGAATCGTCTTAAATTAAATTCATATAATGGGAATGATTCAAAGTAATGAATAAATATTTAGCAATTTTTCTTTTTTAAAATTCCAAAACATTTATTTTAACATTAACACCACGTAAAATATTTTACGAAGGATTTATCAATTTATGTTAGGTAGGCTTCAATAAGTAGGTCAAGACTAAAATTAGTTGGATGGTTAAAATGGATCAATATTTACACTAATTTTTTCGTGATCATCAAAAGGGTTCCATTTTTTTTCCGGACACAGGACATTTGTATACAATCCACAGACTCAGACCTATCAACCGTAGGACTAATGCTCAGTTCACACGATCAAATTTCTTTTTTTGAACGCACTATATGATGCAACACAAAATGATGCGTTCAAAACGAAATTTGACGAAAATTTGATCTTGTGAACTGGGCGTAAGAAGAGAAACGAACGCGTTCGAAAAATGTCAACTCACCTTTTCTTGAGTTTGAGATTTCGAGTGTACTGCTCCACGAGCATCCTGCTGTCTAACAATGGCCGGTAATCTAAGCAAACTCGTCGACAATGCGGATTCAGCTTTAGCGGGTGTGTGATGCCAGTGTCCGGTGCACAATCAAACCACCATTTGGGCTAAAGAGTAAGAGGTACGTGCAGGGGTCTATCACCAGATTCATCAAGCTTGCATCCTTCACGGCTGGTGGGAAACTCGGTTCATGACGACCCCGATGGAAACAAACGAAACGTGGTAACGGTACCTCAGTTAATGATTGGCAGGTCAACACGTTTCTAAGTCCCAGTGATGTCCGAGAGAGAACGGCAACGACATACGACCAGGGACCGCGGCTGCCCGTAGCTTTGTCTACACAAATTGCTCAGTGTAGGCGACGCTGGTGGAGATTCTTCCATCAAGATGAACAAACTTAATGATGATAGGAGATGACAGGATGGAATCAGTAAGCGGCGGGTTGTCTGGTCGGAGTCTGTGCTACTCTCTGGTCCATGGACTGGGGGAGGGGACTGCTGAGCTATTTATTGGGTTGCACCTTAGACCCCCCTCCCCTTAGGGCCGTAACGATCACTCGTGTTCAACCTATTCCCCGATTTCTGATTGGTCAGACCGGATCATCGCCAAGGTCCGAAGCTGGACAGGGCAAGTAGTGTTAATTAATACCCCCCTTCCCTTGACCTGACCCCCCTCCCCCCTCTTTCCACGTCACTCGTGGTAGTTTGTTGACGCGTCGTGTGTGTGTGTGTGCGTGGGTGGGGGGAGGTTGTGTGTGTGTGTGGGGGGGGGGGCTTCAACCTTGACTTGTGTCCATGATTAGTCCACGGCGACTGTTGAAGGCGTTGTCCATCTGGTTTAGTAGCTAGATTCAGAGAGACGAATATTGGCTTTACCTTACTCTGGCAGGCGGGCACACACAGTCTCCAAATTGTAAGAGGCGGTCACAGGTTATAGGTCAGCGTTGCAGGCATTTTGTCAAAGAAAATGAAGGTGAATGTGAAAAAAAACAAAAAAAAGAGTGGGGGCACTGAGAGAAAAAAATCCTTGCAAAGATTGTTCCGACCTGTCTGTCCTGTCTACCGAGGTCAATGTAGACTTTTAATGCTAGGTGCGGTGGCGGCGAAACTGGGGACGTGCACATTTATATATATCATGCAAAATTTGCTAAATTATATATTATATATAATTGATGTATTTCTGTGTGTGTTAGTGAATTGGGGAGGGGGGGCTGCACTATTGCGAGTTCCGTCAATGTAAGCCACTGGGCACTACTACGTGCACGATAGTTTGCTCGGGTTGGATGAAAGAGCGCGGGACCAGTGAAAGCTTAGGGTCACGTCATAGGCGTGTCCCTTTGGTTCATGAAACATTATAGAGTTGATGTGTTTCTCTCCTACTATCCCAACTTCATTGAGCACAGATGTTTTTACCTTATGTGGTGCCAACACAGATGTCTTTACCGCATGTGGTGCCAACACAGATGTCTTTACCACATGTGGTGCCAACACAGATGTCTTTACCACATGTGGTGCCAACACAGATGTCTTTACCACATGTGGTGCCAGGCCTCACCATGACGTCTCCCAGATTAACTTTGTTTTTCTGTAAAACTTATGAAAGATTGGGGGGTGGGGGGATATAAATGGAGGAGGAAAGAGCTAGTTCATGATTTGTTTATAATTTTTAAAAGTTGAAACAAGTGGAGGTAATTAGCGTGTCATTTGGCGCATAGTTGCCGTTCTATGGACTCCATTTCTCAAGAAATTCTGAAATAATTTGGCTGTCGATTATACGTGGGATAATTTTGAAACCCAAATAGTCGTCACACTGGTTATTAGGGATCGGAGACATGCCGAGCACATCTTGTTATTTATAATCAGAAGTGGCGTACCTAGGACATCTAGGGTGCACCCCCCCCCCTGCAATAATTAAAACTAAAACTGTCAAGCTTGAGAGGCAGGTGGCCTTGAATGTAACACTAACATTTTAATGTGCAGATTTTTAACAATTTCCGCGCCCTAGGCTAACGCGATACTTTCCCCCAAGTTTGCACAGCTTTGCGCCCCAATTTTGCACAGCTCTGCGCCCCCAGTTTGCACAGCTCTGCGCCCCAAGTTTGCACAGCTCTGCGCCCCCAGTTTGCATAGCTCTTCGCCCCAAGTCTGCACAGCTCTGCGCCCCAAGTTTTGCACAGCTCTGCGCCCCCAGTTTGCAAAGCTTTGCGCCAGAGCCGTTCTTAGGAGTTTTGGGGCCCTAAGCATGGAACGTAGGTTGGGGCCCCGGAATGGGGGTCCGGGGGTGGAGCGCCCTCGAGCTGAGGAGAAAACACCACCCACCACTGCGGCACCTCCATTCTGCCTTCATCAATGTTTCCTCTTTCCCATTCCCACGGCCAAGCCCCCGATTTCCTGTCTGCCACCCCCAAAGCTCCCCCCTGCTGCTTCCCTTTCCCTGCCTCCAAATTCAACTCAGAATGATACATTTCAGGATGAGGAAGGTAACGTGAGTGACACAGACGGCTGCAGTGCCAGTTTTAAAAAAAACCGGGGGAATCGAGGGCGCCTCACGGGGGCCCCCTCACGTTCGGGGCCCTACGCGGATGCGTAGTCAGGGTATGCCTAAGAACGGGCCTGTTTGCGCCCCTAGTTTGCACAGCTCTGCACCAAGAGTACATGTTATTTTAAAAGCGCCCCGCAAAGACGTTCTATTTTAGAATGGGCAACCCAAGGCTTTAAGCTACTTTGTCTTCTTGGTCTTTTTCAAGGGCGACAAGTTGTTACGTAATGTGCGCTCCAGGGGGTAACTCATTTTCTTAGATTGTTAATTAACTGACAGACTAAAAATGGTATGCTACTTTTAGAGTTCTGTTTGAAAAAACGTTTAGATAAAACTAACAGGCAGGGACGCTTTACTTTACTTTACTTTACTTTACATTAGTCCTCTCCATTTTCTTGTATGCCTGTGAGTCCTGGACATTAACAGCAGAACTTGAAAGAAAAATAAAGGCGATGGAGATGAGAGGTTTCAGAAGCATTCTTGGAATCTGCTGTAGAGACCATATCTCTAACGAACACGTGAAAGTCAGTGAAAGAAAGGATTCGTCAGGCCATTGGGCAGTACGATGACCTCCTGGGGACTGTAAAAAAAAAAAAGCGCAAACTGGAATGGTATTGACCACGTGACAGGAAAACAAGGGCTCGCCAAAGAAATCATGCAGGGCACAGCGAGAGGAGGGAGAAGAAGAGGAAGAGGGAGAAAAAATTGGGAAGATAACATGAAAGCGTGGACGGGACTACAACTGGGCGATGCTGTGTGAAGTGCAGAAACCAGAGAGGAATGGAAGAGGATAGTTTTCATGTCAACTGTGGCGCCCCAACGATCCAAGGACTAAGGGAGATTGATGATGATGATGATGATGAACAGACTTTACAGACAGAACTGTAGGTCGATGTCAATGACACCAGGTACACTATTAAAGTTATTCATTGGAGCTCGCCGACTGACAGTGGACAGAATCTTAAGATTGACAAGATTTAGATGAACAAAGACTCAAAGAGCTTATCTCCTTCCTTGTTGTTAATGTTAACAAAAACATTAGTCTCATGAGTCACGTGATCAACCAGATTCTATTCGAAACAAGTCCTTGTGGTGCTCCAGTGTTGTCGACACGATGGTGGACAAAGGTGGGAAGATAACAGTAAGAAAAGACTCTGCTTAAAACATTCCACAACATCTGCCCCAGTTTTGGCGACCTAGTTTCAGAGAGTAGAATCGAAAAGAATCTAGCCACCTCGAGGAGATGAGCAGCCACACTATGTCAGACATTAGCAGCCTCACTATGTCAGACATTAGCAGCCTCACTATGTCAGACATTAGCAGCCTCACTATGTCAGACATTAGCAGCCTCACTATGTCAGACATTAGCAGCCTCACTATGTCAGACATTAGCAGCCTCATTGTGTAATGTCATGGATTAGCGGCCTCACTACGTGATTGCCATGGATTAGCAGCCTCACTATGGGATGTCAGGGATTAGCAGCCTCACTATGTGATGTCAGGGATTAGCAGGCTCACTATGTGATGTCAGGGATTAGCAGCCTCACTATGTGATGTCAGGGATTAGCAGCCTCACTATGTGATGTCAGGGATTAGCAGGCTCACTATGTGATGTCAGGAATTAGCAGGCTCACTATGTGATGTCATGGATTAGCAGCCTCACTATGTGATGTCATGGATTAGCAGCCTCACTATGTGATATCAGGGATTAGCAGGCTCACTATGTGATGTCATGGATTAGCAGCCTCACTATGTGATGTCAGGGATTAGCAGCCTCACTATGTGATGTCAGGGATTAGCAGGCTCACTATGTGATGTCAGGAATTAGCAGCCTCACTATGTGATGTCAGGGATTAGCAGCCTCACTATGTGATGTCATGGATTAGCAGCCTCACTATGTGATATCAGGGATTAGCAGGCTCACTATGTGATGTCATGGATTAGCAGCCTCACTATGTGATGTCAGGGATTAGCAGCCTCACTATGTGATGTCAGGGATTAGCAGGCTCACTATGTGATGTCAGGAATTAGCAGCCTCACTATGTGATGTCAGGGATTAGCAGCCTCACTATGTGATGTCATGGATTAGCAGCCTCACTATGTGATATCAGGGATTAGCAGGCTCACTATGTGATGTCATGGATTAGCAGCCTCACCATGTGATGTCAGGGATTAGCAGCCTCACTATGTGATGTCATGGATTAGCAGCCTCACTATGTGATGTCAGGGATTAGTAGCCTCACTATGTCAGACATTAGCAGCCTCACTATGTTAGACATTAGCAGCCTCACTATGTTAGACATTAGCAGCTTCACTATGTGATGTCAGGGATTAGCAGCCTCACTATGTCAGACATTAGCAGCCTCACTGCCTCACTATGTCAGACATTAGCCGCCTCACTATGTTAGACATTAGCAGCGTCACTGCATCACTATGTCAGACATTAGCCGCCTCACTATGTCATACATTAGCAGCCTCACCATGTCAGGAATTAGCAGCCTCACCATGAGAGGGACTAGCAGCCTCACCATGTGAGGGATTAGCAGCCTCATTATGTCAGACATTAGCAGCCTCATTATGTCAGACATTAGCAGCCTCATTATGTCAGACATTAGCAGCCTCATTATGTCAGACATTAGCAGCCTCACTATGTCAGACATTAGCAGCCTCACTATGTCAGA